CCAGTTCCAAACAAAGATTTTGTATAAAATAAATAAGTCTTGAAATAGTTTAGTCCTAATATAGAAATTTATTTTTGGAATTGATTTTAGAGAAGTTAGAGTCTAAATCTAGATCTTAGCGTCTACGTCTAGATCTAGTCTAGTTATTGCGTAGATTTAGATTTAGATTTAGAATCTAGTCTAGATCTAGAATCCAAATAAATAAAATAAATTTTATGAGTTTAGGCCGGAAAAACTGTATTGTATACATTTCATAGTGTACGTAGATCTAAATCAAATTTGAATGAAATAGTTCATTTCTTTTTATTCAAAACACAGCAGATGACGTCATTAGTTAATGTATAAGCAATAGCGACGTCACAGTTTTATGCGTTCTTTTTCACATGTATTAATGCTTTTCCGGTTGCATAAATAATACTGTTTCTCTACATTCGAATACGCCTTTAATTTTTATTTTTCTTCTTTAAGTAAAATTGTGGTTATACATTTAAAACATCTAACATATTATTTTCAACAAAAGTCCGTAAAAAGTTATCGATATACCGCTGCCGATTCTGACGTGATGTCCGGCGAAAATTTTTTGCGGACAGAGAAAGAGAGAGAGAGAGAGATGTGCGAACGTGGGGATTTATATATTAGGATTGTGAGTGCTCTATATTTTTGGGAGTCACTTTGTATTTACCGAGTAGACGCGTGTAGGTGGGTTGGTGGTTATAAGGCTTGTAAGTAGGTGACAACTTTTCGTTCTCGTGCTATGCAGCTAGTAGATTTTTACAAGCCCTATAGTTGGTGGGAAGAGTGGAAGGGATGCGTGTGATAGGTGGGTTGGACGAGTTGGGTGGCAAATAGAAAGAGGTCGTCATTGAACTATTTCCAGTCCACTAAGTTACATTTCCGCTAACTAATAATGCAAGAACAGATTTCAAAATCTAAAAATACCAGAATCATATTTGATGATGTTAATACCAAAGGCCACGATTAAATCGATAAGTTTCAATCAGAAGGTTCTTAGAGCAGCTGATGGAAATACAGTTTAACTCACTTCATTTATTCTTAAGATAAAGTTAGCAGAACTATATAAAAAACTTTTTAAAAACCACGTTTTTCATGTGTAGCAACGGACTAAAAAGGAGAAAATAAAATACTTAAAAAAAACTTTTTAAAAAACCACGTTTTTCTTGTGGACTAAAAAGTAGAAAATAACTATTTACATACATTTGATGACAAAAAACGTGGGTACGTTCACCATCAAATTTCCCGACCCATCTGCCCGACCCACGTTTTTTGTCATCAAATGTATGTAAATAGTTATTTTATACTTTTTAGTCCACAAGAAAAACGTGGTTTTTTAAAAAGTTTTTTTTAAGTATTTTATTTTCTCCTTTTTAGTCCGTTGCTACACATGAAAAACGTGGTTTTTAAAAAGTTTTTTATATAGTTTATTTTCTACTTTATCTAATCACTTGATTAAGTATGACTTGACTAAGTGTTTTTAAATACACGGACTAAAAAAATCTTGAGCGACCGATACGCTTTAAACAGAGAAAGGGTGTAATTTACGTTGCTGGCGTGGAGATCTACTCACGAATCACGTGATCAAATCTCCCATAAACAAACAAATAAACGCGAAGCTGAGTTAAGGAAAAACGTGTTTATGTGTATTTTAGCATGCCCAGCGTACCAACCGTGTCACCGTTAACAATGTGTTACCGTGTCCGTTCTCCTTTTTAGTCCGTTGCTACACATAAAAAACGTGGTTTTTTAAAAAGTTTTTTTTAAGTATTTTATTTTCTCCTTTTTAGTCCGTTGCTACACATGAAAAACGTGGTTTTTAAAAAAGTGTTTATAAATACACGGACTAAAAAAATCTTGAGCGACCAGGATTCGAACCTGGGTTGTCGCGGCCACAACGCGAAGTACTAACCACTATACGATCACGGCCAGCGCGCTCACATCGATTGGGGCCGAAGTAACTGTGTCAATAGGCCTCAAGTCTTGTCGGTATCTTTAGAAATCATGTCCTCAATTTTATGGTCCTTGGGGCGTAATTAAATTAAGCTAATTACGGTCACTAATTGCTAGTTTTTATGATTGCATCTGAAATTGTTAGGCGAAAGTAGCATGCATGCCAAATTTCAGGTCTCTAGAGCAATCAGAAGTGGGCTAATTTTCGATGTCAATTTTAACAACAAACATCCAAACAACCAAACAAACAAACAAACGCGAAGCTGAGTTAAGAAAAACGTTTTAATAAAATAGCAAAATTACACTGCATTCTGAGTAAACAACATTTAGCTCTCAGAAAGAAACGAATTGTACTGTGCATTGTATAATTGTGTAACATTTAAAAAAAAAAGTTAGTTACGTTAAAAACCGCTCTACAAACTTTGTCCAAGATGGTTGTGATGAGTGTGTGTGGGGGGGGGGGGGGTGGGGGCGCTTTTTTCGCTAACAAAAATCGCAAGTATTTGTACTGGATTGGTGAGTAGATAACTCTCGTAACACTTAGTAAAGAAACCAAGTGTATTAGCGCGTAATGTACAATTTCACTAGCCAGTTTTGTTAAAAAAAAAGACGCGACTAGTTCTTTGTAAGATTCTTACGATTCTCTCAAATTCAACGTGAGAGATCAGATACTTTTGAGTGATTGCATTAAATCTTGCCTGGATCACTGAACTGTATTAAAGAGAACTAAATATCACGGATTCTTGAATCCCTATCCGATCAGTACAATGGTATACGGTCGGAGCAGGTGGGCGGAAGACGATACAGTTGCCGAAACTTTAAGAGCTAAAAACATTTTTTTTGTTTCGGTTTCCTAAGGAGTATAGGCGTAGGCAACACTTCGTCAACTCAAATGATTTTTATGAAGCTCGAACCCTAATAATCCAACCTCCCACACCTCTATTTCAAACGATTTCCTTCAGGACTTTTTGTCTCCTTCTTTTTTCCCGTGGACTTTACATCAGCACCTACTTAGTGATGTTATTTACTGATATTGTGCCACTAACCACCACTTTTTTCCATGCTCTTATTTCATTCTCCACTGTCTGTAATCTAGCTCCTAGACATACAGTAAAACAGACCACATTTAGTTATAGATCCTGATTGAATTTTTTTGACTATGCATTTGAATTCCACATTTTCTTTGAGTGTTAAAACGCGTTTTATTGCTGCTGATTATAATCAGAACGTCATGGGCTATCATTAAATTGATTGTTACTGCTTCTTTAATCAATACAATTAGTTTTGCATTTGTTGTTGACGTTGTGCGAGCAGTGTTTCTTCCAGACTTTTTTCTCTGGGGGGGGGGGGGGCACTTGAAATTTTCGGGGGGGGGGGGCGGTAGACTTTCTTCGGGGGAGGGGGGGGGGTCGGACACTGTTAAAAGTATATATTTTCTATATATATATATATATATTATATATTTCATTTCGTTCGGGGGGGGGGGGGGGGGGAGGGCGGTAAAAAAATGAGCCCATGCTCATGCTCATGCTCATGCTCATGCTCGTGCTCGTGCTCATGCTCATTCTCATTCTCATTCTCATTCTCATGCTCATGCTCATGCTCATGCTCATGCTCATGCTCATGCTCATGCTCATGCTCATGCTCATGCTCATGCTCATGCTCATGCTCATGCTCATGCTCATGCTCATGCTCATGCTCATGCTCATGCTCATGCTCATGCTCATGCTCATGCTCATGCTCATGCTCATGCTCATGCTCATGCTCATGCTCATGCTCATGCTCATGCTCATGCTCATGCTCATGCTCGTGCTCGTGCTCGTGCTCACGCTCGTGCTCGTGCTCGTGCTCGTGCTCGTGCTCGTGCTCATGCTCATGCTCAAGCTCATGCTCATGCTCATGCTCATGCTCATGCTCATGCTCATGCTCATGCTCATGCTCATGCTCATGCTCATGCTCATGCTCATGCTCATGCTCATGCTCATGCTCATGCTCATGCTCATGCTCATGCTCATGCTCATGCTCATGCTCATGCTCATGCTCATGCTCATGCTCATGCTCATGCTCATGCTCATGCTCATGCTCATGCTCATGCTCATGCTCATGCTCATGCTCATGCTCATGCTCATGCTCATGCTCATGCTCATGCTCATGCTCATGCTCATGCTCATGCTCATGCTCATGCTCATGCTCATGCTCATGCTCATGCTTATCCTTATGCTTATGCTTATGTGTATGTTTATGTTTTAGTCAATGGTCATTTTTGTGTCGTTCAAGTCTCCACTCCAAACACATACATTTTAGGTTGTTTAAAACTTGATCTATGATTAACGTTATCCTCAAACTCCCATTTTATACAATACTACCATTTAACACCAAGGGGTCGTCCATAAATGACGTCACACTCGTAGGGGGGAGGGGGGGTCCGCAAGTTTGTGACGGTGTGTGATGATGGGGAGGGGTGGGGGAGCTTAGATGGTGTGACGTCCCACTTTTGCATTATATAAAGGCAATGTTAGAAACGCATTTTAGACGTTATTTTGCGTTTTAGAAAGCTATTTTAATAAATTTTTATAAAAATTGATTAAAATACTCTATTTTGACAGAGTTCAGACAAGATTTTGGAAAAATATAGCTGTTTAAAAAAAATTCAACTTAATTTTGAGGGGGTTGTAGGCTGAGGTGCGACGTTATTTTAGGGAAGTCTGGCTTTTTGTCACGACGTGTGACGGTGGGGAGGGGGTGGGGGGAGGTAAAAATCGTCAAAAAAAGGGTGACATCATTTATTGATACCCCCAACCTATAACATCCACTGAATAGTCCACTTTAAGAATATGGTATAGCAAACACTTGTAAAGTTAACATACAGTTATTCTTTTTTGATAGGTTAAACAAAATAATACATAACAGCCATGATACTCATGATACGCCTACAGTTTACGTGTCTTACAGTGTGGCGATCGGTTTATTCGTTAATGGACTAATGAGACATTTCTATTGGATGATGATCAAACACGCCCAGCCTCCTAGGTTGTCTGTGATATTCTATAAAACATTCGTTTGGCCACACCTAGCTATTCTCAGAGGCGACCGTTGATTGATTGCAGAAAATTTACACAGAACCAACGTTGCAAATTGTAAGTTGGTAATCTGTTCGTGTTTTATCGTGAGTTTTAAATTGCTAACTAATGACGGGTGATTATTTATTTTACATTATTTTATATTAATTTTATATTTTATTTTATATTTTATTTTATATTTTATTTTATATTTATTTTATTAATGAGTTAGAAACATTTTACAATAAGATGCAAAAATCAATATAGGATGCAAATGCGTAAGCTAATAATGTAGAGTATGTGCCTTAATTAAGAGTTTCATTAAATCAATGTATATTGTATCATTATGGATATATATGATTCTAATGTTTAGCAAATGCTTTGGGCAAGTAGTGATGGCTACACTCTCAAATGTACAGTTTGCAATTCATAAAGCTAAATTTTATGAAAGCAAAAGACATTAAATTTTGCCTGAAAACAAATATCATTATTTTTTTTAAATAGGCTATTGCGAGTATTATGCTTTATGGTTAATAAGAATAACAAAAAAATTACGAGTTAAGTTTACATTCTTCTCTGATGAAAAAGCAAAATATTTAATTGTGTATCTTATTATACATTATATTACTGATTACAACTTAATAAAAAAAAAAAATTACTAAAATAAAAAACAAAAGGGAATTTAATAAAAATAATTTACAAATGATTAAAAACTAGAAAATAAAACAAATTAAGCAAGAAATGTGTGCTTTCATAATAAAATATTTTGTCGCCGATGAAATTTCCTACATTATTTAATTACACTTAAAAGCTTATTATTATAAAAAAAATTCTTTCGTATTTGATTTATTTTTAAGTATGGGTTGAATGAACGGACTGTAGCGCGCTTGACTGCAGATCGAACTGAGTTTCGAACCTGTTTCTATAGGGCGCCATCTGGGTCACCGAGTTCTGATGGGTACCTGATTTTAAATTAGGGGAAAAACAATTAATCTGGGCACTATGTATGTCACATTATCACTTTATGTGGTAAAGAAATAAATCAGTTGGACTATAGTTCACTTATTTTGTTTACTGTAAAGCCGGTTTGTAAAGAAAAAATTAAGTTGCAGTAAGAAAGTTAAAAAGTTAAAGTAAAGGGTATAAAGTTTATAATGCTCTAAAAATATTTGACATAGCACTCAATGGTCCAAACGCATTAGAACCAACCGCGTGCGTTGTGATCTCGTACGGTGTATTTTCAATGAGGGAAAATTCAAACCTTAAAATTTTACATTGACGTGATGTGTTTCGTACCTGTACTACCTACATGGTGTCTATTACACTATCGTCTTGTCCAGTTAGGCAGTTATCATTTGGTCAAAATATATATGTGGTTATTTTACTTAAGTCAGCTTATATCCTATTTTAGACGAGTCCATTGTTAAAATACAAAGATTTAAATATAATAATTAAGGCCTGAAATAGCTTAGTAAAGAAATTAAATTATTCGCTGTTTTATTGGCCTAAATTAGATTGTATATCTAGAATCTCGATCTAGATAGAATCTACGAACAGATGAAAAATTGCTCTAGTCTAATTATCGGTAACTCTAGATGAATTCCTTGTTTTGTCGAATTATATTATACGAGCCGACCCGCGGCATATCATACGCCGCTATTTAGTTGTTGTTTTACTTCTCAGTAATTCATAATCTGTGAATTCGGCAGTACCAACGCTGCCACTGAAAATATTTCTTTAAAACACTATAAGTAGCTCGTTATGACGATAACCCCCCCCCCCCTCCTCCGTTAAAGTAAACTCCACTTAGTTACCCCCCTCCCCAAGTTTAAAATCATTTCAAACTAAATTATCTGCCCCTAATAGTCGTCACTAAACCCGGCTTTGCTTGTAAACATTTAGAGTGAACACAGCTCACTAAAACCATGTAGGGGTGGGGAGGTAGGGAGAGCGTTTGCAGCTTGTTTTCTAACGGCTCGAAGAGGAGAATTATATATATAGATGTGAAGCTAAAAATAGAACATTCTAGGACAAAAATGGTTAAATAAAAAACTCATTTATTTATTGTGTTTGCGTGCTTGTTTTTCATTTTTACTAATTATTTTTGGTTCTGCCTAATTTGAATACTTTTCTTTTGACAGCTTATAGATAGATCTAGATACATTGATTGCATACTCAAATTAGAAGAACTGTTAATTTAATTTAGCGTATTCTATTAAAATTGATAAAAGTGTTGGAACTTTAAAAATTGCTAATATGCCTATTCTAGAAGCTATTTGCTAGATCATTAAGCTTTATGAGCGTTATTAATGGGTACCATGGTCGTCAATGAACGTCGCCATGTTTGTTTTTAATAAAATATTTGTTCTGAACTTTTATAATTAAAGGGGTATTTCTACAAACAAACATATTAATAAACTATGTACCGTTTTTACATGTGTGTATATTATTCGAGGAAAAAATATTCTATACAAATGCGTATTTAACAGTTCTACACATAGAGCAGGTGCTCCAATCTAATCTAACAAAACAGACAAAAAAGTGAAAAAAAAAATCAATAAATAAATTATATACAAACATTTGAATTTTAGTAGTAGGCCTATATAGATAAATACTTCAAGATTGAATTAGATTGAAATTTATATTTATTTGTGTTGACTACTATATACAAGCATTACAATAGCAGAGGGTTGAAAAGGTGACCGATAGATCGAAAATTATATAGACACAGAATCCGACAGAAAGACAGACTGACAGAGATACAAATTTAAAAACGAGAGATAGAGACAGTGAGCACACAGAGTGAGCACCAGGAGTATTTTGCTATATGTCATTGCTCCTCCCCCTCCGCTCCTCCGCCAAGAATTCGCTCCAAAAGGGACCTAATATACTACTTATATGTAGCTTAAAGAACATGCCACTGGATCCCCCAGTTCTTGTAATAAAACATTAGGATAAAGTTCTATCAACACATCGTATAAAAACATCAACAGCGCATAAGGACTTCTATCAACCTAGAAAACAAATCAATTCAGCCTACATTATCATAATACAATATAGTATTTCCACATCATGCATCACATCAAGTTATGATTCTCGCCAACCTAGAGAAGTATCAACATAAACAGCACAGCTATATATACAACATGTTGGTCATTCCTACAATTGTTCCTCCTTGATGCTTAAAAATCCCTACAATCTTTCTGCATATGACCAGGCCTATTGTAAACAAAACAAAGCATATGACTTGTTACCTTCTTCCCAACTAATTTCTAAAACTAACTCTATCTGGACAGTTTCTTCCTACATGACCTACTTTTGACAATTGTAACAATGAATGGGCCGAGAAGTTGTCTTGGAAACTGAGTTTGAGTTTGTATTATTGACTTTGATAATCCTATTATCCAACAATTTACCACAGCTTCCTTGCACTCCTTGAATGATAAAAATATGACCGTGTTCTTTCTCATTTTTTTGGTAAGTTCATAATGACTCGTCTCAAAATGACCTTTTAGAATTAAAGGTTTCATAGACTCATGACTGAGAACAACTTTGCACAATACACGTTGTTTCTTCTCTATTTCATTTCCAGTGATGTTAGTAAAGCCGAATTTTAGATATTTTTCTAAATATTTATGGGATTTTTTTTTTTCATTACTGGTGTGTACTCTACTAGTTGGCGACCCCCCAGAAAGCCCTTTGCGACCCACCTGGGGCTCGCGACCCACAGTTTGAGAACCCATGTTCTAAACATTGTCCAAATTTATGCATTTTTCTTATTTCTTCTGTGTCCATTTTTTCCCCTTTTATATCCTTCATTCTCTCCCCTAAAGTATGTGATCGATCTTACAAAAGCATGGAAAAACATGACTAATCGCTCATATAGTCCTTCGTTGGCCAGGCATTCTCCTTTTGTACAAGTTCATGGTAAATACAATATAGATAAACGATGCCAAAAGTACAGTCTGTTACATGTCCCCTTTTCAAATAAAACTCCTTGCAACACAATTTTATAAGTACAATGCTAGTAGGGCAGGATCATGTGCCAGACACAAAAAAGTAGAGTGAAAATAAATTCAATATAGAATAAACATTTGTAGTCACAAGTTTACAAGCAGAACATACCACAATGTGTGGTGATTATATCACTCACTAGATAATTTCTAGATTATAAAAATTGCAAAATATTATGACAATATATTTAGATCAATAAGTGTGTAGAAAATGCTCATACATTTTAATATACAGTGGCACACATCACAATCAGCTTGTTCATACACAGAACCTTAAACAATATCAATATCGAAATAAACCCGATAATTTAAATGTGTCAGTGTTTGAAAAAAGCATTGAAATGTTTAAGCATTATGTTTAATTGTTGGTACCTACATATGCCCAAATAGAAAAAAAACATTTTAATCATGGAGTTACCCTGGTACTAAACCCATTACATCAACTGAGTAAGAATATCAAGAAACTAATTTGTTATACGACTTATCTGCATTTTTATATCACATAATTTAAATACTCAAGATTAAATTAAACTCATAAATTAATTTTTTTATTATATTCAGGGATAGCCTTCCTTATCCACAACGCATTTTCTTACCACGCTTGCTTAATTTTCTTGTTGTCTCCCCTAGTTGACCCATTTAAGTTACATCTAGGTCACGGCACATCAATAACATTCCTGCCATTAGCAAGCTCTGACCTGTACATGTGTCATGATTTAGACGTCCTGCTTATAATCATGTGATGTATATATAGTCCTTTACTTTTATTTGCCTACCATAGATATTGTACATTAAACATTATATAACATAACTAGCCGTCCCGGCCAGGCCCTGCTCTGGCTTCTGTGAAAACCTTTCTGTTAAAGTCCATTACCTGTGTGTTTATTAATCATCATAAACCCGGCATTGCCCACCCAAACCCCAACCAAACAAAACCTCAACAATAAAACGCAAACATAACGCTAACACAATTACAAATACAAACGAAAACAAAAACCTAACAACAAACCCAATCACAACCACAAACACCAATACGAACACAAAGAAAAAAACGAAAAAGCAAAC